GCCTCCTTCCTGATGGCCGCGAGCTTTTTGGAGGCGACAATTGCCGCGGCGTGCTCGCAACACTCGACCTCGCACTCGTAGGCGCGCTAGAAGGAGGTGCTGATGGTGATGACCTCGCATGGACCCAACATCTTCAGCTTTAAATAGGTGTAGTTGGGGATGACCATGAACTTCACATAGCATGGATGTCCTAGGATGGTGTGGTAGGTTCCATTGAACCTGACCACCTCGAAGGTAAGGGTCTCCATCCTATAATTAGATGGATCCCTGAAGGTGACAGGCAGATCGATCTGCCCGAGTGGCACGGCCTGCTTTTCCAAGCACAATGCTATGGAAAGGCGCTCCGGTCGGTCGGATTTGCGATCGGTCGATGCCCATGGCATCGAGCATCTCGGCGTACATGATGTTGAGGTCACTGCCTCCATCCATCAGTACCTTGGTGAGCCGCTTTGTGTCGATGATCGGGTCAACCACGAGCGGATATTATCTCGGCGGCGGTACGCTTTCTGGGTGGTCGGTCCGATCAAAGGTTATGGCGGACTCCGACCATCGGAGGAAGGTAGGCATGGTCGGCTTGGTCGTATAGACCTCACGGCACGCGAGCATCTAGCGGTGCTTGGAGTCATAGGCCGACGACCCTCCAAAGATCATGAGGCAGCCATCTAGAGTTGGAAAGCCACCGTCCTTCCCCTCGGCGTCGTCCACGGATGGCTTGGGGTCCTTCCTATGCTCCCCCTTGTTGGAGCCTTCGGACAAGAACCGCTTCATGAGACCGTAGTCCCTGTATAGATGCTTGACAGGGAAAACATGGTTCGGACATGGTCCTTCGAGCAGCTTCTCAAAGTGGTCCGGGGTGCCCTCGGTGGGCTTCCGACCCCCCTTGCCATCGGCGGCAACCACAAGCGAGCCCTCGTGCCACTACTTGTCCTTCTTCTTGTTGGGACGGCTGGAGGCGCCTTCACTGGCGTCCTCGTCCCGCTTCACCTTGCCCTTGAGGCGGTCGAAGATCGCTCCGACCACCTCCTCGCCCGAGGCATGGCTAGTGGCGATGTCGAGGAGCTCCTTGGTGGTTCACGGGCTCTTATGTCCTAGCTTATGAACTAGGGATTCACAGGTGGTCCTAGACAGGAAGGCTCCTATGATGTCGGTGTCGGCGACGTTAGGCAGCTTGTTGCACTGCCAGGAAAAGCGCCGAATATACCCACAAAGAGTTTCCCCGACCTTCTGTTGGTAGTTTTTGAGATCCCATGGGTTTCCAGGACACGCTTATGTGCTCTAGAAGTTTCCCACGAAGATCTCTTTCAGGTCTGCCTAACTTTGGATTTTGTAGGGTGGAAGGTGTTCCAACCACGTTCGTGTTGAATCGGCTAGAAACAATAGAAGGTTGCGGATAATGAAATCGTCATTATCTGCTCCACCGGCTTGGCAAGCAAGCCGATAATCCTTGAGCCATAGTTCGGGGTTCATTTCCCTAGAGTATTTCGGGATGTTGGTCGGTGGTCGGTATCGTGGTGGAAAGGCGGCGTTGAGGATGTGTTGGCCAAAGGCCTGAGGTCCCAGCAAGTCAGGGCTCGGGCTTCAGTCCTTGCTGCTGTCGTAGCATCCACCACGACGAGGGTGGTAGCCACGGCTGGCCCCCTCCCTTGCGTTGCCGTGGGCACGCTTGCGGGCATCGAGGGTGTCGCGTGCATCACGGTTGCCGGCGAGACGATAGTGCACCGGGACCGCGGTGTGTGGCCTGCTGCCTCGCTGCGGCTGGTGGACTGACATGTCCATGTTGGGTCCCTCTGAGGGCGCGTGCTGGCTGGCGTCGAGCTCACATAGTCGGGACAGCGAGCTTTCCGCCTGTTGCGCCGCCACACGCTCGAGCAGCGTGCGAATCTCACGATGGGCCCGATGATCCTCGGGCGTCGTGGGCCCCGGAAGCCCCCAGAGCAAGGCCCCCGGTGTGTGTACTAGTATTAATTTTCCTTGTTTGTCTCACTTTCAAAAAAGGCTGTTAATCGGTTTCAGAGATGCAGCCAAACCAGTTTTCTGAGATGTGCACTGATTGTACTTGTCGGTGTCTTGAGTTACCACCGACGAGTAAATTTGTATTATTACACGTCTGACTCAGATGGTGTGCTTAGAGGACACGAGGTTTATACTGGTTCGGGTAGAAAGTCCCTATGTCCAGTTCATCGCTGCTGCTCGTGTTACTAGCACTGAAAGTTTATAGTAGGGGGTACAAACGGACAAGAGAGGGAAATGATCCCAAGTCTCTGGTGAAGGGAGTGAACGAGTGCTGAGAGCTCGATTGCTGCTCAGCCGAGTGCTCATGTCGTGCTTCTTGTGTCGATCTCGATTGATTGGTTTTAATTAGATTAGCCACGAGTGAGTATGCCCTGCTTTCCCTTTTATAGGCCAAGGGAAAGCATGGGTTACAATGGAGGAAAAGAGAAGAACGAGAGAGAGAAGAAGTCATTCAGGATCATCGGGTCCTTATCTTTCATGCGTGGTCCCACCGACCCTATAGATGTCAGCAGGGATAGTTCCGCGTCGCGGCCCTATCCGTTACTGGCACCATGCGCAGGCATCATCTGCTGGTCATGGTGTTCCATTCCGTCGCAGCGGACGTCGTGGTGAGCTGACGCGCCTGTCAGCGTTCGTACAGGGGTTAAGCGAACAGCACCGGTATGCCCAACACTGTTCTTGATGTGAATCCTCAGGTATGGCCCGTCATGGCCATGGGTTACATCGAGGCATGCCGGTCTCTTCTTAGTGTCAGAGTTTTGACCCAGGCCCATACGTTTGGACCTAGAGTGGTTGGTGGTGGTATGGGTCCCCATCGGGCAAGGTAGAGCCCATGGCCTCGGGGTCAGGCGAGGCGGAGCCCGCCCCCAGAGGTTGGGCAAGGTGGAGCGCAAACCCTAGGGTCGGGCAAGGCAGAGCCTGGCCTCAGAGGTCGGGCGAGGAGGAGCCCGCCCCTAGAGGTCGGGCGAGGCAGAGCACAAACCCAAGGGTTAGGCGAGGCGGAGCCTGTGGCCTTGGGGTCGGGTGGAGCTGTAGTCGCGCTCTTGACTGTTCGGATGAATCAATATTGATTGTCATTAGCTTCTCCTCTTCGGGTACCCTAGTATTGGTCCCCGACAGTACTATCCTTTCCTATTAAAAAAGTTTAATACCCTTTGAGGACGTCCATCCGGGCGTGTCTGTCCGAATGCACCTATTTCTGGGCTGCACAATGATCGGGCCCAACAGTCAACGATGGGCTTGCTCCATCTACGCTCTCTCCTCCATCTCTACACTACGATAGCCAAGAAATCCCCAACTCCTAATTCGCTTCGCTCATCGCGCCGTCTGCCTGCCCTAAGTCGCCTCACCGCCGCGCGTCGCGCTGTGCCTCGCTCGTCCCGTCCCTACCCTATGTGCCCATCCCCTGCCGTTGTGTGCCATGCCCCGTCCCCCGCCACATCAAGGTGTTGCCGACGCCACCGTTCCCCTGGCCGATGGAGGAGCTTCGTGTGACGCCATCCTACTGGTGAGTTATCTGTGCCGCTGCCACACTGGCAAGCTCCATGCGCCGCTGCTGACCTCCGTGTCGACATTGAGCTTCGTAATGATGAGCTTCCATTCCTCTAAGTTGCAAGGTGACATTGTACTGAAAAGCGCATGTTGCAAGCGTATACGTTTCAAGTGTTTCAGGTGTTTCATCTGAATGTTGCATATGCGTTAATCTGGATGTTGCAAAAGTACATCAGATTATTGCACATCTTGCAATGGCTATATACGTATGTTGCAAGTGTATGTTCTAAATGTTTCATCTGCTTTTTCAGACATATGTTGTAATTGTGTTTATTTGGATATTACATATGTTTCACACATACGTTGCTAGTGTTTTATCTAGATGTTGCATATGTTTTGCAATGACTTTTTATGTGTTTTCATATGTTTTTACAAATGTTTCTAAGTGTTTCATCTGTCTATAGACGTATGTTGCAAAATATTTTGTCTGGATGTTTCAAAAGTAGATCTGGTGTTGCACATGTTGCAATGGCGCGGTGGCTGGCGAACAGCGGCCTGTCGCAGGGCTTTGTCTCCTACTCGTGCGACGCGCCTCACCCTCTCCTCTCCCTCTCCTCCCTTCCCTTCCCTCCATCTCGTCTCGGCATTAGCGTTGGGGTGGGGGTTGTTGAGGGTGTTGCGTTCGGACGCAGGTGCTGGCGTAGGATGGGATGCGGGGGCGTAGGGACGTGGGATGTGATGCGGGCACAGGTACGGGAGCAACGTCCGGAGACTGCGGCCGGACGGCCGGATGCTAGCCCTTTTAATGGGCTTGTACTCCATAATCATGAACCGTGTGACTATTCTCAAAGCATTAGAATACATCAAGGTGATTGAACTCCTAATTTTGCTTTTTTTTTTGGGCTGAACTTCTAGCTTCAGATAGTCGGTTACAAGAATTTAAGAATTTTGGAGGAAACAAGATGCGGACAACGCTGTACCATTAGCCTGATAGGAACATAACACATATATTGCGACACATGAAAAACCTTTGACCCTCTTTAGAACATCTTTAGAAAGCAAGAATTTAATCAGTTCAATTCCACAAAAAGACACATGATTCATGGAAAAGATCTCGCATGGGGTGAAATTGTTATACACCACAGCCATGGGGTTCCAACGGAAGAATATCATTGTATTTGTATGCTCAGAAGGTCACATGGCAAGGGAGAACTATTAAGGGAAAGAAATAATATATGAAACCTTACACTATTAAATCAAGTACAACAGCAGCAGTGGCACCAAAACCTGCTAGCAGTTTACGTGAAGTTTTGACAAAAGAGAAGAGGCTTTCGCAAAGGTTCAAGTCCTTTGGCATCTTCTGATAACTCAAAACAGATGTTAGCCTATACAGTCCCAGGACCATAACCTTTTATGTATTATACGTCCACAAAGTAACAGTTTGTGGATATTGTCTATTCTATAGTCAGAAATTGTGTCTGTAGAAAAAGGAATACTCAGACATGGGCCTTTAAACTTCTAGAAACCCTAGATCTCGAAACATTTCTCCTTTGCTCAGTGAAGAACATGGAGATTACCAATAAGAACACCACAATTGATAATGCCCACACAGCAATTATCCACATCCTAGAAGACCTGGCCAGTCTCCTTGATCTATGTAGAGGTTGTACAGTAGCTGCAGTCCTTTCAACAGTCTTCTCCCTTCCATCAACCATGGACTCTATGTTTTCTCTACTTGTACTTCTTGACTTTTGTGGAACTCTCTCCATTTTGTTAGAAGCAGAAACTTGTTGATCAGCTTTCCTAGATGTGCTGCGAATGGTGCCTAGCTGGGGGCAATTTCTGCGCTTTTGGTGCAGGTATAGGGCTTTATTCAAAGCTCTCCCGCATTCAATGCTGAGAAGATCCCTCTCCCGTGCATCTAGATCTTGTTTCATGATCGTAGCAGGATCAGGTGGTTCAGGGAACTTGGCCCAGCATGTATTTACCACATCAGCATTTCTCCAATCAGCCTTGTCAAAGCTCCAATTACCAACTCCAAATCTCAAACCATAATGGAAAACCCTGTATTTTGCCCCAGGCAGTGGAACATAACCTGGATATATCATTATGTCCCTCCTAATGATGTGTCGCAGGTTGATCTGCAAGTTAAAAAGAAGTCATACAGCAAGATAGACAATGAGTAGGGATGGATGAAAAAATATTAATTGAAATGACACAACTGCCAACTGCACCAGATGACCAGAGCACCATTTTTCTAGAACATATGAGTGCAACTTTTCTTACTACCTTCTCTAGAAAATATGAACGAAGCTATGTTGGATATTAAAAGCCAGAAGTGTTCATGACATTAGTTACACTTACAATGAAGAAAAAAGAGTGATTCTTGAAACTTGAAAGAACAAAAAAAAAAAAAAAAAGAAAGTGCATATACCTCAGCTGCTGCAAAAGAGTAGCCATACATCTCGCTAATCCAGCCAGAATTATATATGTCGCCAGTAATGTTTGTTGCATAGTGAGCTTTGTCTGCACGAACCTCCTCTGATTTGTGAAGCCACAGCAGAGCAAAACGCCGAAGATCATCTATATGCATGATAATGACACCGCCAACCTTATCACATGCAGAGGGATTGCGAGTGTGTATCTTTGCAAGTATGTTATCACAACCAATGAGGTACCTGATACACATCAAGGGTAACATTACTACATAACCATAGGAAAATCTATAACATGGCCAACCGTACGCTACTCTCATAGCACAGTAAAGTCTTACTCATAAGGAGTAGAAACAGGATGACCACGTTTTGCACCATATTCCCATTGGGTGATGGGGCCTCTCATGATCGTATCAGCATATAGGATAACAAGGAACTCAGCATCAGTCTGCACATGGTTGAGCCAATGGAGAACTGCTGCAGGTTTGTTAATTGCAGGGTACCTAGCAAAAGAATCATATGAGTGGGTTGTCTTGAACATTATCTTTAGAAACTATGTTAAACCAAGAGGTTATACCAGTCCCCTGTCAGTGGATGATGGCTCATAGACGGAACATAATGTGTTGGAGCAAGATCATGGCCTTTATAGTTCTTCAAGTCCTCATCCGTACAGCTCAATAAGCGTGTAATGTTACCAGGCTGTCCGCTTAAACGAAAACTATGCATAAGCCCAACAGTTTGCCAGTCAAAATTATATATGGCCATGCAGCCCGAGCCCTTCGGCCCGGCCCAAGGCCCGTTTTTTTGGCCCGGCCCAAGCACGGCCCGACCCGGTGGCGAGCGGGCCTGGGCTAGCACGGCCCGGAGGAGCAAGCCATGCCTGGGCCTTACCCCAGGCATGTGGCCCGGCACGGCACGACCCGCTCCTCAACAGCAGGCCCGCTGGTGGCCCGGCCTGCCACTGGCCGGCCCCCTCCCCGCAGACCCGCGCCCCCGCTCGAGTATATAAGTGGGGAGTGTCGGCTAAGCCGCTCGCCCGCTCCCAACCCTAACCCTAACCCTAATCCCCACTCTCTCTCGCTCGTCGCGGCGCATCTCTGCTCTCTCGCATGCATCGGCCGCATCCACGATCCACCAGTGGCGAATCTGAGCTCTCTCTCGTCCGTTGTCCCTGACTCCGGTGACCTCGATCCGCCTGTCTGACCCTATCTCCACTCTCCTCCCTTCTCCCTCTCTCCTCTCGACCTCTCGCTCTCGATGAACTATGTGAGTTCGTAACCGTGTTCCCGTCCGTCCCTCCTCCGCCGTTCGCCGTCGTTTCTAATCGGTGTCTCTCCTCTGGGTGGCCCTCGTCATCTCCGACACCGGGCTCCGGTTGCGCAGGTAGTCCACGAACCCTAACCCTAACCCTAACCCTAACCCTAACCCTAGATATGTCTTCTTGTGTCTCTTTGAGACTGAGTGACTGGCCCTGAATCTGGATCTCTATCTCTCTATTTTTCTCCTCCGCGCAGGTCGGTTGCCGATGCCTCGTCCTCTTCCTGTGGCATAGACCGGGCACGGCGGCCGCGCGCACCGTTGAGGAACGGTGCTAGAAATCAGCCGTCTGCAGTCAAGGTCACCATGGCGGATGACGACGATGTCGTCTATCCACTCACCGGCAACGATGACCTCATCGCGGCAGGGCTGGTCACCGAGGACGACCACGACATCCATGACGACGCTGCTGCGTTGTTGGGTATCGATGTCGGTAGCGGCTCTGCTCCGATCGATCTGGACGACGGCGATGGTGGTGTAGGGGCGGCGCCGGCGCCGTCGGCGACGGTGATAGGGACGCCGATCGGCTCCAACAGCACAGATGGTATCTCATCTGTTGGTAAGCGTAAATCTAGTGTCTGGGTTGATTTTGATGAGATCTATGAGACTGTGAATGGTTCATAGATTCGAACTGCTGCTATCTATAAAATGTGTAAGAGCAAATTGTCTGCTAAATCTTTTGCTGGCACTGGCCATTTGATTAGGCACCAGAAATCTTGTAGGAAAAAGGCTGATCACGCTGCTAGGGTTCAGTCTAGGCTTTCTTTCAATCCTGATGGATCTGTGCATAACTGGGACTATAATCCTGCTGTTGCTCGATCTGAGTTGTGTCGATTGATTGCTAGGCTTGACCTTCCATTAGGTATAGGTGAGACACAGGCCTAGGAGGATTACATTGTTCTTACTCATAACCCTAGGTTTGCCAAAGTTTCTAGACATACCACCACTAGAGATCTTGGTAAGCTGTACTGAACGCCGTAATATGCTTAAGAATTTTGTGTTGCCTGCTGCTTCTTCTGTTGCTTTGACTTTAGATATTTGGTCTGGTAATGCTAAAGAGGACTATATTAGTGTTGTTGCTCACTATGTGAATGCTGATTAGGAGTTACAGAAAATGGTTATTGGTTTTAGGCTGATTGAGGTTAAATATTCTGGTAAAAACATTGTTGAAAGAATTACAGCTGTGGTTGCGGAGTATTGTCTGATTGATAAATTTTTCTCTGTCACTCTAGACAATGCTTCTTCAAATACTAAGGCTATGAACACTTTGACACCTCTAGTTGCTGGTTACTTGGGTCCTGATCCTTTGGATCCTAGTAACCGTAAGTGTAGTCTTGTACATCAACATTATGCTTGTCATATCATTAATCTCATTATAAAATCTAGATTAAAGAGGTTGAAACCTTACACAGAAGATTTTAGAAATGCAATTAACTTATTAAATTCCTCTAATCAAAGAATTGCATTGTTCAAGGAATACTGTAATGTTAAGGGTGTTAGACCTAAAAATTTTGACTTGGATATGAATGTTACATGGAATTCTACTTACCTGATGCTTAAACACTTGCTTCCATACAAGAATATCTTTTCTGTGTTCATTAATTCCCATTATGGTTCACAATTGTTGACTAGAAATCATTGATATGTTGCTGAGAAGTTATTGGAGTTCCTAGAACTCTTCTATGACTCCACTGTTGTTCTGTCTGGTGTTTATTATCCTACAAGTCCACTTGTTCTACACCATATCCTAGAGATTGCTTCTCATTTACATGCATGTGAAAAAGATCAAAATATGAGAGTTATTGTATATCCTATGAAGCTTAAATTCCTTAAATATTGGCAGGACATACTGTCGGATGCCGTGAGAAGGGGTACCCTAAGCAAGATCCAAAAAACGACTGCTTAGATTTCGTAAAGATCGAAACCCATTAAACGTCTTGGCCTCGGCCGATTCTCGACTCATGAGGCCCCATCATCATGGCCTCGGCCGATTCTCCGACTCGCCGAGGCCTCATCATATGGACCTTTCGCCTTGAGGCCCCATCTTGATCCTCGGTCGATTCCTAAGATGAGAGGTTTCGAGGCTTTAAGGCCACCGACCCTCCGTCTCGTTGCGCAAGGCGGGCTCGGCAAACTCCGCTACCTCTTCCTTCTCCGTCCCTGCAAAAAGCGTCGTGTCGCATCAACTCTCACCAATAGCACGCCGCTGACAACAATACCGCATGCCCGCGACAAAGATGAGAATGGCCGATGGGGACGAGGAGGCTATCGGGGGGGTTACCCGCCATCAGACTAACCACCGTGCACATGGGTTGACGCCCATGCCTCACTATACGCTTGCAAACTCCTGCACCGAGGACAATGCAGCGTGGGGAGCCACATCTGTCTCATGGCCTCGGAATCAAATACCCGGAGCAATAATTCCCTCCAAGGAGCTTGCTCCAAGGCTCGACAACCCGAGGACCTATGTCCGCCAAAGCCCCGCGATGGCTTGGCCTCGGCACCTCAGAGCCACTGCCCCCCGACAGTCATCACGCGATGACAACCGTCCCCAATCATACCGTCACTATGCTATCCACCGTGCACATGGTTGACACCCATGCCTCATCTTTGTCTTTGCCAACTCTGCTCCAAGGACAACGCGCAGCATGGGGAGCCACGTCTGGCCATCGTGGCCTCGGAATCGATTGGGCCAATAACTCCCCCAAGGCCTCGGGAGTTTGCTTTCACGGGCTCGGCGGCGAGGGTCCATGACCACCGAAAGCCCCCACGATGGCTCGGCCTCGGCATCTGCAGAGCCGTGCTCCCTTACGACGTCATTACACGGCGACCAGCACGTCGCCCGCCATGTCCTGCATCAAGCCGTACTGGAGCCCCACGACGCACAAGACCGAGTATGACCAGCATGTCACTTCCGCACGACAAGGACGGGGCCACTCCATCGACCATACCACAACAGTGGCCGACTACAGGGCTCGGACACGCCACCCCATTTACAGAAGCGCTATGTAGCACCCTGTGCACGGTCCCGGTCCTCCCTTAGAGTATAAAAGGGAGGGACTGGGGCCATTTCTGGGGGGGGAGGCCAGAAAGACGAACACGCCGATAGAACCACGCACTCCTACGCTGCTTGGGAAGAACGCCTCAAGCAGCCCGCACCACACTCGCCGAGACCTGGGGCTAGTTCCCTCTCTCGCCTAGCTTGTAACCCCCTACTACGAGCACTCCGGTGCAAGGAATACAAGATCGATCTCTCGGACTGGACGTAGGGCCTCGATTGCCTGAACCAGTATAAACCTTGTGTCTCTTTGCGCCACCATCCGGGATTAGAGGCACGCAGCACAAATTCACTCGTTGGTTGAGGGACCCCCGGTTCCAAAACACCGACACATACCTCTGTTATATTCATATGCATTTATTCTTGATCCTAGAGCTAAGATGAGAGGTTTCTTTAATGTGTTGCAATTACTTGGTGAATGCACTGGTTCTGAGTACAGTTCATACTATACTAATATCAAAACTGAATTGTATAAATTGTTTAACAAATATAAGAGCAAGTTTGGTGCAGCTAGGTCTCAAAGGGTTGCACAACCATCAAATCATACAGGTAAGAAAAAACAGGCATGTGGAAGAATCTTTGGCTGTGGATCAGGTGTTGTTGGTCCTTCCCCTCTCCCTGCCACTTCATCTTCATCTACTTCTGCTGTTTGTGAGCTCTCAGCTTACTTAGTGACAATGTCACTTCTTATGAGGATGATTTTGACCTACTTCTGTTGTGACGTGACCACAAGCTAACCTTTCAAATTCTGCCTATAATGGCTAGAGATATCATATCAGTTCCTGTATCTACTATCTCTTCGGAGTCTTGTTTCAGTTTGACAGGTAGGATAATTGAGGAACGGCGGCGGCGCTTGTCACCAGAGACTGTGGAGATGCTGACCTGCATAAAGGACTGGGAGTTAGGAGAAAGAAGGGAACAACATGCTGTTGACAACCAAGAGTTGGAAGACTCATTCAAGAACTTGTACCTTGAAGAAGATGAAGCTGCTGCTGGTGCTTCTGGTACTTAGTGACGTTGAGACTTGACTCTTGAGAGTGTGAGTGTGATCTGTGACTATGAAAGAGTAAGGTATGTGAGTGTGGGACTGAGACAGTGAGTGTGAGAGTGTGATCTGTGAGAGAGCGAGTGTCTGTTTCTGTGTATGTGAGTGTGGGACAGAGAAAGTGAGTGTGAGTGTGATCTGTGCTATGAGAGAGTGAGAGTGTATGTGACTATGAGTGTGGGACTGAGACAGTGAGTGTGAGTGTCAGAGTGATATGTGAGAGAGTGAGAGACTGAGAGTGTATGTGACTCTGAGTGTGGGACTGAGACAGTGAGTGAGAGTGTGAGAGAGTGTCTCTGAGACTTGTCTATCATTTGAACAATGGTTTGTAAGACTTAATTAAGAGTTGGCTGCACTTTTTTTTCCTTTCTAGGATTTCTCACAAGGGTGAGATTTACTTAGAAATATTTTTAATGAGCCAGCATTGCACTAAATAGCTCATTTTGGTTATTTCTGTTATCTGTTGGCTTTGGAGTTTGATATCTCTATTGGACTGTGAATGTATTGGACTTTGATTCTGTATCTGTATGATTCTGTGAATAAAATGAAAGTATAAAACTATGAATGTATTGGACTTTGATTCTTTGATTCTGTGAATGCAAGGGTAACGGGCTGTGGGCTGGCACGGCCCGTAATTCTGGTCATGCTTAGCTGGCCGGTACGGTACGAAAAATGGCTCATAATACCGTGCCTGGGCCGAAGGCCAGGCCCGTAGCCCTAAGAGGCACAGTCCGGGAGGCCCGGCGTGTCGTGCTGGCCTGACCCCCATCGGCCCATGCTTTTATGGGCCCGTGCTATGCTGGGCCGGCCCGTTGGCCATCTATACTCAAAATATGATGAACATTCCGTAGAGAAAAGGGTATGTATTTTTGGATATTCACTGTTTGCCTTGGACAATGCAACGTGTTGCATGGTCACTATGCTGTCAACCTGTTGGCCCTTCCAGTACTTCGGTTTTGTAAGCTCTGAAAACCTCCTGCTTTTAAGAAAACTCAGGTATTTTGACCACTGTGGTTTCGGGCACCCAACAGATGTATGATGCAACAAGAGCCCTTCATTCAAGGTGTTAATGCACTCTATGCTTAGAAATAAGCCTCGTTTTATATTTGGGTCAGATTCCATCATCTCAACCTACAAAGTTTGCAGCATAAAAAATCTTCATCATAAATAGCTATAAATGAGCACACCCAAACTATGATTAGAAATATTGTTTACCTCTCTAGGAAAAGGAGGTGGAGGGAACAAGCGGTTGCAATCATAAATTATTCCATCTTCATGCTGTTCTAATTTACTGAATGACCAGTTTCCAACTTTAAATGGCGAACCATAGTGCAAGATAAGTGGCTCAATGCCAGGTCTAGGAGTATAACCTAGGTAGATCATTACAACAACAACAATAAAGCCTTTTAAGTCCCAAATAAGTTAGGATAGACTAGAGTTAAAACCCAGCATAAGCAATCAAGGTTCAGGCACGTGAATAGCTGTTTTTCAAGCACTCCTATCTAAGGCTGGGTATATTCCATCCTTTCAAGTCTCCTTTTATTGTCTCTACCCAAGTCAACTTCGGTCTTTCTCCGCCTCTCTTCACGTTACTATCCTGGCTTAGGATTTCACTACGCACCGGTGTCTCTAGAGGTGTCTCCGTTGGACATGTCCAAACCATCTCAACCGGTGTTAGACAAGCTTTTCTTCAATTGATGCTATTCCTAATCTATCACGTATATCATTGTTTCAAACTCGATCCCTTCTTGTATGACCGTAAATCCAACGCAACATACACATTTCCGCGACACTTATCTGTTGAACATGTCGTCTTTTCGTAGGACAACATTCTGCACTATACAACATAGCAGGTTTAATTGTCGTCTTATAAAACTTGCCTTTTAGCTTCTGTGGTACCCTTTTGTCACATAGGACACCAGATGCTTGACGCCACTTCATCCACCCTGCTTTGATTCTATGGCTAACATCTTCATCAATATCCCCGTCTCTCTGTAGCATTGATCATAAATATCGAAAGATATCCTTCCTAGGCACTACTTGACCTTCCAAATTAATATCTTCCTCCTCTCGAGTAGTAGTGCCGAAGTCACATCTCATATACTCAGTTTTAGTTCTACTGAGTCTAAAACATTTGGACTCCAAAGTCTCCCGCCATAACTAAGTTTCTAACTCACTCATGTCCGGCTTTCATCAACTAGCACTACATCGTCCGCGAAAAGCATACACCAAGGGATGTCCCCTTGTATGTCCTTTGTGACCTCATCCATCACTAAGGCAAACAGATAAGGGTAGATCATTATGTCATCATTTATCTTGTGCCGTAGACATACCTGTTCATGAGGACCAGATAATGAAGCTACACAGGAAGAAGTTTACAATCCATAATGAGAAATTTTTACTTTAGCAAATACACAAAGCGAGGAGAGTGAAAGTCAGCTTACTTCTGCAGCACCAAATGAATACCCATACATCTCATTGATCCAACCCATGCCATATATATCACCAGTAATATTGGTTGACCAATGGGACTTATCCTGCCTCACTTCTTCAGTTTTTGAGAGCCACAGAGGTGCTAGAGCCCTTAAGTCATCAATATGCATGGCTAGAATTCCTCCAACTTTGTCACAAAATTCTGGATGTGCAGTGTGAAGCTGTGCTAGGATGTTATCACAACCCTTCAGATATCTAGTTAAGAGTAGATATAGATCGAAACCAGTTAGATGATTGGTGTAAATCAGGTATTATAATGACCTACTCAGATAGCACCTGGCATCCAACAGGTAGTGTTTAAACATAGAATGCACATGTAAATGTATTTCTCAGGATAGAAATATGAAGTGGCACACAGACTTCCTCGACATACGGGCCTATTTGGAACGAAGGATTCCCAAAACGTGGGAATAGGAAAAGCACACGATTCAAGCTGTTGGCAATTGCAATCCTACAGGAATTTAGAATGCAGCAAACTTTCCAGTGGAGCATTCGGAAAGTTCCATTTGGAGCACAGGAACTTGGGAGAGAGAGAGAGAGAGAGAGAGAGACACAAAGGAAAGTTTCCAATAGGTTGGACCTCGTGGATTTACTACAGAATTTCTATGGATTGAGGCAATCCATAGGAAATTTGTAGGATTATAAGATGTCCAATACTTTGACATAGGAGAAATTTCCATGGGATTCTAGTCCCAAATTCCACACTGATTCTTTGTTCAGAAGGGAAGGGTGGGGGGTGATACAACTTTATACGGCAAATTTTCTTGCTGTTCTAACAGGCAAATGGAACCCTAGACAGAAAATCACTATTCCAAACATAGGTAAGTTACAAGTAGATGGATAGGTATTCAGTGTCACTCGAGACTATTAGAACCAAAGGATAATTCAGTGATTTGTCAAAGTACCATCCTTTCCAAATAATTAAGACTGCCTTGGTACAAAAACGATAAATATAGAGTTAATAGCTGAGCAAGTAAAAGCCATACCCATAATAAGCAGCAAAAGGCTTGGCTTTCTCTGCTCCGAGTTCCCAAGGAATAATGGGCCCTCGAATAATCTGATCTGCGTCCAAGATTACAACCCAATCGACATTGTCGGCCTCTGGACTATGCTTTAGCCAATGCACTATCCCTGCTGGCTTGTTGATGGCTGGGTACCTTCACATGAAAAATGGTGGGATGCCCAATGAGGCCACTTTCATTTGAAACAAGGTATCTTAACTTGAAAAATAGCAAGCCCAACTTCTCAACTAGGTGTATCTTTAGGATCTCTCATCACAATAAAAGTGTAAAATAACAGTCCACTGATACAGAAGCAGGAGCGCGGCCACCACCGCACCGGCGATCGCCGCCGCCATTGCTGGTGGGGTGGCGGATCTCTCGCCCGGACGGATCCCCGCCTTGGGCTGACCTTCGGTTTCTCCTGGGTAACCTTTCGAGCTTGGTTTATTGTCCGTTTGTGCGCCCTCGTGTCAGCGACTCAGAGTGAGGACTTCAAGAAGTCGCGGGTTTTCAGAAGTGCGCCAACTGGTATGGTTCGTGTAGAACAACTTAGGCGTTCTGCTGTACGCCAACAAGCCAAAAAGCTCGGAAAAACAATGTTGCTACTCGATGCAACTGGGTTGCCTTCTAATCTAAGTGCCCATACGAATTTTGGTTAGGTACAACTACACGATCTCAAATTACACTTGCTTGTGCAAAGTTTGCTGTCAAATATGCAGGTTCAGTGTATCAGTTGAGTTTCGTTGGTCTGTGAGGCAAGAATCGAAGCGCTGAAGAGAATTCAACTGCAGAAATTGCAGTTTGTCATAGCTATCTTGTTTAAGCGATCTTCAGAAGCTCAGAGGCAGTGTCCTCCCTTGGCATCAGAGACCGTCAAAAGGAAAGAACATTCAGATCATGACCATGGACGCAGAACGTCAACCTGTCAAGCTACGCAACCAATCTTTAGATTGAGCTAAACCTTCGACGTATCTCTCCTATCAAGCTAAGTAAACGGTCTTCAGATTGAGCTAAACCTTCAACATCGTATCCATGTAACACAGCATATATCGGCTTCGCAGAAGATATTAATTTTTGCAGGAGACATTGGAAAGAATGAGGTATGGTTTTGATCGTCGGAGTTACTGACCAACCGACAGAAAGAGCGCACAAAACAACAAGGACTTACGCAAACCTGTCAGCTTCAGGTAATTCAGATATATCATCACGTTTCCAATGTGAAAGCTGATAGATTTCAGAATCATAACACTCCAATCAGGGTGCTGTCTGTAGTTCTGGCAATAATATCCTGCATTACAACTGGTGTCAGTAAATCTGCCACTCATGGCTTCTATGTCATTCAACATCCATGGGGAGCACTGATGCAGCAACCAAATACCTGTGTGGCCCAATTTAAGTTGAAGAACTAATCTGTAGGAAAACTAGTTCACATATAGAGAGAGATTATACACTATCTCTGCATCGGAATTGCACTACAACTCTGCATACAGCCGTATCACTATCACCTTCACCTATATAATTTTTTTCAGGTTAGATCAACACATAGCTTCACATTCTGCAGACCCTGCCGGAGTCCTCTTCACTTATACTAAAAGTTTCCAGTGAAATTTATGTCTCACATATGTGCATGCAATGCTGCATCAGAGTAAGAATTTAGTGCAAAAGTCAGTTGTGCAAGGCAAAGATTTGACAGTCTTCGTATGTAGGTTTGATCATCGTGAAGAGTATATATTGCGGTCATTGTACCATGGCACAGTCTATAATACAGACAATTATCAAAAGTGGAGAGACTACAAATTAAATCATTCCACCACAGGATCAAGTTAGATTAATATAGCCCTACAGGAGGCACTATACGGGAACATACCAAAGAACGTCATCCTTGCTCACATAAGGGCATGGTCGAAAGATAGGGCTGGCTGAGGCATTTATGCAAACAGGCCTCCGTCTAGCAATGGGAACTCCATAGTTTCACTGCTAAACTCTACATCATCATACCAGTTATTCTGCAGTCCAGGTAGTGCCATTGCATCATTGCACTGAAATAAATCGATGCTACTCAGTCCTATATTCCCAAAGGAGACACCTTGAAGTTGATAGCCAGACAAGTCATCATGTAGACAAGTCAAATCAGTGCCGCATATTATACTTGCCTCTTCTGAAGTAAGCAAAGTGGCTTGGTTCCTTTCCTGATCAAAGTCACAATCTTTAATGCTGGACAACCCCTCCACACTGGAAAACTTCTGGTCACTGTTAGTTGAGGTCACAACACTGTCACTAAGTTGAGCAGAAACTGACTCAACTGTACAAGTCAGTGCCGGTGATAAGGACTTCATACAGCCAAGAAGATCTGGTTTTACATCTGAGAAGTCTCTGACATCTCCCTCCACACTGCAACTCATCGATATTACTGGTGGTGGGGCATACAGATGACCAGGGGCAATTGGGTGCTCTAAGTCCGGTTTGGGCAAGCAAGAATAGTCTCCTAGCAGGTCGCAGCGCTCATGGTTATGCTTTGGATACTGCATGAACTGCTTTGGTGGCACACTTCCACTCCGGGATTGACATTCCAAGATCATGGTCTCTGATAACTTCCTGTCCTGATTCACTAGCATTCTTTCAAAAGAGAACACCCCGCTTAAAGGTGAAGCACTGGTGATATTCTGAGGATCAACAGCATCACTTACTGAAGTTCCATTTTTATCTGGCACGGAAGTCTTTGTGTCATCCAGATGAGGATCGGGAATGTTGATCTGAGCTTGGATCTTCTGAGAACTATGCTGAAATCCATTGGAAAGGTTGCCTGGTTGCTCTTGGAAGGAACTTCGGAGGTTAAGATTATCTGATGGTCCCTTGTGACTGAAATCTTGCCTAGCAGCACCCATTATCCTTTCCTCGTTCTGCTTTTGCAACCTACTCAAGTAGAGGCGATATTTCTGCACAGAAAAAAACTACTATTAGGATAATCAAGACCTAAGTACAAGCATCATGTGAGACCCCGCTAAATGGGCCAAGCTAGGCTGGTCTGATGGGCTGGGCCAAATGGACGAGTACTGTAGCGACAGGGTGATGTGAGTTACTGTAGCATCACGAAACACTGTGCAACCAGCCTTTAGTCCCAAACTGTGAATCCTAGGACGGCCAGACCGACTTAAATAGCCAGGCCAAGGACGCGTAGTAATCTTCGGTTAACCGTTTCGTACGAAGCGAGGACGAAAGCGCAAGCGGGTCACCTATGTAGGTGGGGCTCACCCCTCGGTAGAGTGGGCCTGTGCCGTGTACCGGGCCTAGGGTGTTACACATCAGAGGAGAAAAAAGTAATATTAGAGTTATAAACATCAGAGGAGAAAAAAGTAATATTAGAGAAAAATTTATAAATTCTAAGGCATACAAGGATGCCAAGTAAGTATTGAATGCAAATCACTTGGAACAAAAAGCTTCATTGATGTTGTTGTAAGTTTTTCTTTCATAAAAAATGTTGCTAATAGTTAAGGATGCAAGTGACTGTTGCTTGGAACGAGTGTATGTAAGTGATGTTTTATTTTTTGTAAACGGGGGTGTCATACACAAAACACTAATGCATGTGCTTGGACAGGCTTTTTCTATCTATTAATAGCATGACACTCAGCTCTGATCTGCGTTCTGAGGAAAAAAAATTGAAAGTTGCAAATTAGTTTTCAAGGCATGTGGATCGTTACAATCTTAGGACCTGTTTGTTTCAGCTTGCAAATTGTAACAACCTGCAAGCTGCAATCCACAATCTGCAAGCTAAAATAGACGAGGCCTATGCCATGTCAAAGCTCATCAGCAATCAGCATAAGATCCAGTTTATAAGGAAAGAGAACATAAAAAATATTACTGTTTGAACATGATATCTGCCATACCTGAAGATGGCTAGCCACATTCTCTCTTGTCAGGCCAGGAACATTCATAAGGTCCAGTATTTTCTTCGGCCCAACTTCTGCAAGAGAGCAATAGTTGCAATTTAAAATTGAGATCATGCAAATTTTTTAAATTTACGAAGGGAATTGCAAATTTATCAAACTTTAGAGAGCACTCACTGTCAAATCCAATTTGGTTGACAGCATTTACAAACTTCTGGTGAAGGTCAACAGACCAGACAACTCTAGCCTTCTTAACAGTAGCTCCATCACTTGAGTCCTGATCTGCATGGTCCTTATCCATGTCTTTTCTCTTCCTCACGGTATCAGAGTCAGCTCTCATAAATAGGCCCCTCTCGTCGAATCCCTCCACACCATTTCTAAATATTTGGAGATCGTCACAGCTGTCATTACCTTCAATCTCTTTCACCTCATGCATTTTCTTCCTATACACATGTTGCCAAATGTTTCGGAGTTCCTTCATCCGAACAGGCTTGAGGAGATAGTCACAAGCACCATGCTGGACACCTTTCATCACCCTACTTGTCTCTCCGTCTATGGACATCACTGTGAAAACAGATTGGAACAATTTGGTATTTTGATAATAGATATTGAAAACAAGTAACTTGCAGAAAGACATGTGTTGGTATTGAATACTGACTTATAACGGGTAGATCCATCTCAAGTCCAATGAGTTCGAGAAGCTTGAAACCATCCATGTCAGGCATGTTGACATCACTGATTACAATGTCAAACTTGTTTCTCCTCTCTCGGAGAATTTGGAGAGCAATGCTTGCTAAACCGCATGTGGTGACTGTAGGCAAATAACTATTTTAGTAGAAGGCAGGATAATTATCAATCATTAATATAGATGCATGCTTATAACATAATTTCAGCTGATATTACTGATTATTTGCAATAGAGTTTATCGGAAAAAAGATCAGTCAGTAGTGATACAATAGCTAATATATATTTTTTGGAAGAATTATACAATCGCTAATATGTCAGCCAAATGGACTAACAATTATGTCCAGATGAAAGTAAAAGATGTTCTCAAAGACAAATAAAATATGCTAGTTGGGAAATTCACTGAAAACTTTTCTGCTCCCAAAGCCAGCTATGGTGTGATAAAAATGGTTTTCGAAAAAAAATGGTGCGATAAAAATATAGCAAGTAAATAGACTCCACTCTGCAGCACTATAAAATCAGAATACAAGGAACGGAATATATGTCTAAACTATAGTTCTTACAAATTTACGCACGAGCGCAACTGAGTGCTTAACCATAGATCTAAAACGGAGAGGAAATAATGATAATTTCACAGTGAAAGCAGACTTAGAATGCCTATGCCGTGTTCCATGTTTCACCATATGAATTTTTATCTGAAAAAGTTAATAGACTAGGCCTATAGCTTTCACCCGTAAAGTGATACCATAGTTTGAGAAGCTATATCAAAGGCAGAAATGCCTCCTGTC